ATACCTGCAATCCTAGCTCCTTGAGTGGCTGAGAACAGGAGAATAAGATGGTTTGAAGACAGCCTGGATGAAAAAAAAGTACACCCCCTTTTAAACCAATAGTTGAACATGGTGGCAAATGCTTGTTATTCTAGCTTTGTGATGGGCTAAGATCAGGAAGATGATGGTTCCAGACAAGCTTCAGGCAAAGTCTATAAGAATCCATGTCAATGGAATAAACTGAATATAGGTCACGTATCTATCATCCTGGCTATAACAGGAAGCCTAAAATAGGTGAATGACAGACAAGGTACATTCCTTAGCAGGCATTGATACCATCTCAAAATTAACCAGTGCAGTACAGGAATGGAAGCATGACTCAGCAGTAGAACACCTGCCTAGCAAGCACAAAGCCCTGAATTCAAGCCCTGGTACTAGAAAAAAAAAAGCCATTTTAAAAGCAGTCTATTACTCTCAATACTAGACAACCACTAATCTGTGTTTAGACAATAGAAATATTATTTTTCTGGATATGTTGTTTACATAGAATAATACAATATTTATGTGAGTATGTATTCATATAACTAGCATACAGTGTGCATAATCTTTTACTTATATAGTTTGCACAATATGTAGTCTATTATCTGTAATCTTTTGTATCTGCCTTTTTCCACTCAGGATATTTTTGAAGGTGATCCATTTTATAGCTCCTATTGTTTCATTATTTTAAGTTATAAAATGGTTTCATTTATTAAGTTAACACGAGAAATATTTACATTTTGTCTACTTTTGTACTATTATAGATAGTGCTATGAATTATTATTATTGTTATTTGTTAGGATGTTTTTTCCTACCAGTTGTAAGCTTGAACTCTGGGCCTAGCACTGTCCCTGAGCTGCTGCTTTGCTCAATGCTAGAGCTCTACCACTTTGAGCCACAGTGCCACTTCCGGCTTTTTCTGTGATTTAATTGGAGATAAGAATCTTACAGACTTTCCTGCCTGAGCTGGCTTCCGAACTGCAATCCTCAAATCTCAGTCTCCTGAGTAGTTAGGCTTATAAGCATAAGCCACTGCCACCTGGCTCTATGAATTATTTAATAAAATGTTTTGTGTGGGCAATTATTTTCACTGCTTTTGAGTTAGTACTTACTAGGGTTATTGTTTAATTTTATAACAAGTTTATGTTTCCCTATTTAACGAATCTAGCAAAATAATTTTTTTGAAGTGGCAATACCTACTGTAGGCAAGTTTCAGTTTCTCTTCACAATACTACCTTCTTTCATTTATCAATAATGGCTTTGTTGACAGTCTCTTCTTCCAATGCATTCAAGATGTCATTCCACTGTATTCTGTTTTGCACTGATTCTGATGAAAAATCAACCTTTTGTCTTATTGTTGTGTCCATGTATGTGATGAATCGTTTTGTCCTTACTGCTTTCCTGATTTCTGTCTTTGACTTTAATTTGATTAACATGTGTTAAAATGTAAGTCAATTTGAGCTTCTTGGACTTAGCAGAGTAATATTCTACATTAGATTTGGGAAATTCTTCACCAGTTTCTAAACTTATATCTTCATATTGTGCCACATATCCTTGAAGTTCTGCTCAGTATTCTTTTTTTTTTTCACTTTTTTCTCTGACCTCAAAATTGGATAATTTCTTGAAGTTGATGGTATTCGATTTTCTGTCATGTGAGATCTGCATCATAAACCCCTCTTGTTAGGAAATTTTCATTTGTTACTATATTTTTCAACTCTAAAATTTCCATTTGCTTATGTTTGCATTTTTTTATTTTGAATTACCTGTTTATTGAATAATTTTGCCTTTCATTTCATCTTTTACTGAACTTATATAATAGCTGTTTCAAAATCATTCTCTGATATACCTAATATTTGAAGTCATTTAGAGATGGATATCTATTGGCTGCCTTTTGTTCCTACAAATACTTAAGATTTTCCGTGTTTCTTTTTATGTCTCATCATTGTTGTTGAACACTAAGATTTCTCAAGTAATACATTTGAGTAGCTCATGTTTGGAATCCCAAGATGTTATTTTATCTGCATGTTTACTCACTTGTCTGCACCCATATGTGATATTGTCTCCCCAGCAATATATAATCTCTGATTCTTTGCTCATTTTCTTACTTTGATTCTCTTTTAAGTGTAAATTGGGCTGAAGAGATTATTGTCATTCCTTCCCAAACTTACAGATTCCTTGAGTTTCACTGCTTTGAAATCCAGTATTCTTTCTTTTTCAAAAGTTTTCGACTCATTTTTAGTTTTTACATATGCCCTTTTACAAGCAAAACCGTTTATCTTTTCAATATCTATAGTGCAGAATATACAGTAGTTAATGTATAAGGTGGTGTAACTGGGTAGAGAAAGACTAGAAGCTGGATTGAGCTAGAGTTTCAGCTTATGAGGGACTGAATAATTCTTTGAAAAAGAGGATGACCATCAGTACATTATGAATAGGTTTTCTTAGTTTAAAATCACCCTGGTTTGGTTGGAACAATTGAATTAATAAATTACCAAAGCCATATTAAACTTATATACTCAACAAAATAATATGGAATATCTCCTAGAATTTTTTTGTAAATTTATCTTCTTAAGCTTTACTTTATGAAAATAAATATTTATTTGGACAATAAATTTAAAGAAATTCTGCATTAGCTCTTTTTTTAAATAAAATTTATGTGGCCTTATCAGTTATCTTTTTAGTCTAAAGAATTCCTTAAACAGCCACTCATTTTAAGAAAAATCTCCAAAAGACTTCTTTCAAGTGACACTTCCTGGACTCTTATTTCTGACCTACTTCTCCCAACCCCCTATGAAAGGAGTGTGTCTATTGTATACCTATAGTAAAAGAGGAGAGTTAAGGCTAGGGACATAAATTTAGTCTATCTTCTATTAGGGATATTCAGATCTATTACTTGTATGGACAGAATTTGAAGAAATAAGGTCTTACTATACTAACATTTTAATGGCTTATAATTAGAAATTACTTAATTTTTTTTGGAAAAAAGACACAAGTAAAAATGAAACTAGAATCCTCAAACCTTATATTCTCCACCTAAATTCCAATCAGTTAGTATACAGGTGAAGAACCTAATTTCCTGGTTCCACATGTGAGCAACTCAGGCAAGTGAAGAATGTAATGAAACTTGCTTTTTAGGTTCCTTGCTAGTAGACTTTCCAGTACTGATGGAGCAGGGTGACCTCTCTTCTAGAAGTAAATTACGTATATCACAGTTCGTTTTCTTTTTTTGTTTTTCTTTGTTGTCTGTGGTGGGGGCTTGAACTCAGAGCCTGGACACTGTTTCTGAGCTGTTTTTTGCTGAAGGCTAGCATTATAGCACTTTGAGCCACGGCTCAAAGTTCTTTGATGGTTAATTGGAGATAAGATTCTCATGGATGCTGGCTTTTGAACCACAATCCTTAGATCTCAGCCTCCTGAGGCACGAACCACCACCACTACCACCACCCCCCACCACAGTTTCTTTTTAATTGATATGATTCATTGTGAAGTACAATTTGGGGGGGAAGGTGTTTCTAAGAATACAAACTTGCTTTATGTTTTCATTTATAGGGTTAAAAAGTCCTAGCAACATGAATTTCTAATGACTATTCTAAAACTGCAATCTCCTACTTTTACATCTTTCCTAATATAACACTCCTTTACTGGAATGGCTTTTAATTTGGGAAGAAATAGAATTTATGTAAGATGTTGCTAGGAATGGAATTATTTCACTATTACATGTTTTTGTCTTCAATACACTTGCAGAATTATTCGCCAAATATACTATGCAAATATACACTTCCACATCTTTCTACTGTTGTATATCATCAACATATAATACTGTGCATCTTTTAATTTTAGGCTACATTTCTTGATTTCAAGCTGGCTTAGAAATCTTTTGTATATATAGTAATTGCTGAGGACTTGGCAAATTTCCCATTCTTATATATTTTCTATGATTGTTTCTCTGCACTCCAAGTTATCTCTTAAATTATTTTCTAAGAGCTATTTTTCCCTTAGGATTTTATTAACATATATTAGTTGTTACAAAGGCAGTTTCTTTGTGACATTTACATACATACATTCATACATACATACATATATATAGTAGCTTTAACTTTTGCATTTCATACTTGGCCTTTAATTGACTCATCTCTTCTGTATGTATAACTAGTGATCCCAACACCACTTTCCCTTATTTGAAATCTTCTCTTCCTTTCACTAATTGGAAGAATGTTCTCAACTCTAAATCATTCATCAAAGCTACCTTCTGTTTCAGTTGTTTCTTTGTCCTTCTACCACTGCTCTAATATGTTAATTATAATAGTTTTATAAATAATCTTAGTATCTGTTCAAACAAGGGTTTTCATTCATATTTTTCCTCAAATTTCACTACACTTTCAAATAAATTTCATTGATTTTTTTCATGTGAATTTTAAATCTGCTCATTCGTTCCTTATAAAATCCTATTGGTATTTTGTTTGGAATTATAATACATTCCTTTATTAATTTTGAAAAGCATTGTCTTCATTGATTTAAATCTTATCAATAGATCTTTGATCACTTTGGTCTTTAAAGCCCTTCAATGAAATTATAACTTTTTCCTAAACTCTTAACTACAACCAAGCCATTCTTATTTTGTGGATATTGTAATTAGTGTTTTTACTACATTCTAAAGTATTACTGTTGAATTATTTATTTTGTATGTTTGGGTTTTTTTCTTTCACACCCTTGTTGAAAGATTTCTGTAATTATATCTGCTTTCAGTCTCACTGGCTTACTACTATAATAGTTCTCAAGAAAACAACTTATATGTCCCCCTTGGACATAACTACTAAGGGATGTAATATATCTGTAATCTACAAAGGTGGTTGAAGAGAACAGATCATTTGTATTGTACGCATATTATTTTAATTGTGTTTCTTGACTCTTCAATAATGCTCTTGAGAAAAATAGTACTTCAGTAAAAAGTGTGTTCCTTTTCTTTTGTGCTTATTTTCAAGGCTTTCTGTGAAACTTTAGAAGAGACTAACTACCATTTACAGAAAGAACTACTTGAAAAGCAAAGAGAAGTGGAATCACTAAAGAAACTGCTCAGTGAAAAGCAACTTCACATAGAAACATTAGAGACCAGAATCAGGTGTGTGGTGATAGTTGCATTTGCGGTTGGACTGGTTCATCTCCTAGTATTTTGGGCTAACTGCCAGTTAGGTTTTGATATCACTTAGGAAGCTTCTGATTCTAAAAGTTAGAGACTCTTGGCTTCCTTATAAATTGGAGAAATTGATTGTTAAGTTAGAAAGCTAAACATTGGAAACATGGGCAACAGGAAAATCAACCTATAGCTGTCCAACCTGGTATTTTTCTTTATTTATTTCAATCTGGTATTTTTCTAAGCTTTTGTATTGACTTCTCACATATAAAAGTTCTATATGAAAGTTCTGATAATCATTTACAGTTAACTATAGCTACTGAATTTCTCTGTGGCTCCCACAGTATACAATTTATTAGCCATGTTGGTCACATTGGACTTAACAGTTAAAAACTAATAATGTTGTATATATTCACAACAACAAATATATATAACTGTTTATTAATAAAAATGACTTTATGCTATAATGTACTTTTAGAACATTGGCTTTAGAACCTGAAGAATCACTGTATGTGTCAGGAACAGATCATGGACAAAGTCTAAGAATGGAATCTTCTGCATTTGAAGTTGATCAGGATGTCTTGGATGAAGAATCTAGGTATATGTTTAGTTTATTACAGCCTAATTTATATAATCAGGGGGAAGTTTTCTAATACTATGTAAAGTATTCTCTATGAAATTCAGTGTTACTGTATCATAAATCTGATGAACAGTTAGATAAAAACCATTACGTTTTCTTTCTCCCTAAAAATTCATCTCCGGCCACAGCCCTAAGTTTTTCATTGCTTACTTTGAAGCTATATCTGAATCAACAGGGGTCTCACAGAATTCATTAGATTTTTGAATCTTGACAAATGAATCCTCTTAATAACCTTCTTTTTCCATTCAGAAGTAGGAAGTATGATAGGAAACCACTCTGCCTAACAGAATGATTGAAAGATTATCTTTCAATCATTGGATATAAGTTGAAGGTAAAATTGTTAATACATAATGATAACATTTGAGCTATAGTATGAGAACCATGTTTAGACTGGTTAAAGGTGAAAATAAACTAGAATCTTATTGGCAAATGGTAGTTTGAAGAGCTAAATTTAAACATATATTCATCAGACTGGGTGGCACTTAAAACATCAGCTATTCAAAAGGCTGAGGCAAGACTCCCATTCCATAAGAAACCGCATGTATAGATCTCCAAAAATATGTACATGGTCCTTAAATTTCTCGTTGAATATTTAAATATTTTTATAGTAAATGTTTAGTCATTCCATAAAGTAAAAGATTTTTAAGGAGAATAATAAAGTGAAATAGTATGGTTCTGTTCTCTTCATTGACATTTTCTCTATTTTTGCAGTGCTAATAATAAGCCACACTTAAGTTCCCATGAAGCTGAAATTGCTGTATCAGACATAGAAGTGGCAGAACTGGCATATAATGCTGAAGAAGACTAACACTATACAAGCAGTGTCCTCCATTTCCACATCTCAGCAACTTGGAATAGAGAGGCAAATACTGTTTGAAAAGAAAGTGGACTGTGAAACCCAGAAAAGCAAGAATGCACATGTATAAAGTTTACATTAAAGAAACTTTTTAAAAAAAATTATTGGAATAGGGAATATATCCATTGCTGCTTTTGTCTTCTATCAGCCTTGTATTTAATACACTGAAAAAAAGTTAGAATTCTTTATCAAGGCTTATGTCTTTAAATACTGTGTATAAATTATCCTGGTGTTTTGCCTGTATATTGCTTCAGTCTAGTGTGCGTGTGTGCACACGTGTATGTGTGTGTGGGAGACAGCAAAAGTGTGTTTTAAATTATCATATTTTTGTCAAATGAAAGTTAATTGCATGTTACTATCTAGGCAATAGTTACTCTGTGTCTTTGACATGACCTACTTTCATAAATCAGTGAACATCATAGTAAAGGTAAAATAAGTTGAGTTTTAAATGCTGATATGTTTATCATCTCTAAATAAAAACTGCTTGTTCCAAATGTCAATACTATTTAAAGGACTTCTCATACCAAAGGGAAACTGTTGTAAAGAGCTATAATCACTTATGTAAAGTAACAAAATAGCCTTGGTTTTAAGAGCCAATTCATTAATAATAAGATACTTGATCCAGATTTATTAATTTGTTATACTCGGTTGTTTTCCCATGCTTTTCATCTTAAACCTCTACCTGTAGATTTGGTCAGTTTGCCTTTCAGAACATTACTCTTTTTGTTAATATAACACAGTCTTTGGAAAATAAAATATTAGACAAAAAAGAGAAAGATTGAAACCATCTATACTGCACAGTTTCCTAACTAGCTTGATTCCTGGCATTGCATCTTTATGTATATGTAAAGTTGTTCTTATACTGTATCATGGCTATTTTTCTTTCTTAAGAAGCCAAGTGATGCACTTTATGATCATTAAACTCTTTTGTGCCAAGTTTAATTGGTAGATTTCTTTATGGAATTAGCTGAATAAAATATGTAGTGCCTTTACTGTTTCACTTTGTACAAACTTTTGTGAGGGTCTGTGAGCCAAGTTTGTGAACAAAAATGTCTATGTTTCAGTTTTGTGTATAGTTATGGAACGTGCCTTGTTTTGTTTCTATAGTTATGTGAAGTTATGTGGTTATTTTCTGTTTATACTTTTTGCTTAATGATATTTGCATTGTAATTGTACTATCATTTGGGAATCCTGGTGGTATATTGAATTAAACTCTAAAAATAATCTTAGTAAGGAATGCAATAACAATACTTTTTTTTCTTTACTATTTAGGAGTTTATAGTATCTGAATGAACATGTCACATTGTGGTTGTTTCAAATTACACTGACAAAAATGAGCACACCGGCTCTTGTTAACTTCCAGTCTTACAAAGGAGACTACTTGTTACCAAAGTATCCAAATTCTAAGTCTCTGTTAAAATGTATTAGTATGTTCTGAATCAGAACATTTTGAACAAAGTGTATTAGGAATGTATTTATTATCCTTACTCAGAAATGAATATAATAATCTGGTCTGTGTATTTATTTTAAATTATTCTAGGTGTTCCAGATAGCTTAAAAAGAACAATCACTGAATATCATTTGAGTCTAATGAAACAAAATGATCTTTGCCAGATTCCAGATATTATAGTGCTACATCTGTTTTAAAAGTACCCAAATACTTATAAAATGTGGCTTTTCAGAAGATTGTATTTAGAGTTCTGGATGGGCAATGAAAAACTGTTAATTAGCTAACACATTATTTATATTTAGAATTTACCTTTTTTTTTACTTTTATAATGTGTTTTCCTTCCAATATTCCATTCATTTAATAAATTATTTTTTCATGATAACAGTAGCTGTGTCACTCCAATGTGGAAAACCATTTCCTCCCTCTACGTTTTGCATTCTCTGTGTCCTCTACAATGCTTACTGGAGATTGAATTCTGTTAAGATTTGCATTTCACAGGTGTGGGATGAGTCTGATTTACTTTCTAAGTTGACACTTTACATCCCTGATCTTCTTTTAAAACTTAGTAGCTGTGAGCAATATACTACAGATGAATTTAGTATTAAAAAAAAACAATGTAATTGAAACAGAAAACCTTTAAATCTTGTACTTCAGCATTTAAGAATTAATTCACATATTGATAATATAGTCAAAAGTTAAATGTTTTGAAATGTGTTTCATCTGCCTACCACACCAAGAATAGCCACATAGAACATATTGATTGAGAAAACTTCCCCAGGTAAGTTACATAGTCCAGTTCAATTGTCACATAGTCCAGTTCAATTGTCATATTCAAAGGAAAGAGTGGATTTAGATTTAAAAATAAGTCTTCTGGTTTTGAAATGGATTTTATTACTTATAAAATTGTGAATTGTGCTAAAATGGATGTGTCCATCCTTTAGATATCCAGAATACCTCAAATCAACCACTGCAGTAATCTTTCAACTGATTTTCTGAAGGCCTCCTGCCTTTACCACACTACAATTCATTCACTATGGTAGTTGATTTTGAACATCTTAAGTCACATCTTGTTTTCTCCTCTTTCCCTAAAGCTATTAAAGAATTCCCATCATGCTGTAAGTAGGATAAAATTCAAACTTCTAAAGCTGTGGCAGTGGCTCAAGTGGTAATGTGTCTGCTTAGCAAGTGCAAGTCTCAGTCCAAACCCTAGTATCACTGAAAACAAAAGACTGTCTTACCTGACATCCAAACATGGTTTCACTTCTGCCAATTGCTCTGATTGTGATACCAACCCACATGGCTGCTTTAGGCTCTGCTCTGTCAAACTCTTCTGCTTTCCAGCTCTGCCACATCCCTTGACCAGAAAGCTGTTTCCAGACTCTACACTGGTGGCTTCTTCAAGTCATAAGATTATTCCTCTACTGGCAACCTACAGTGGTCCTCAGTCACTTAATGGGCTGGTATGGCTCAAGTAGTTTAACCTGTGGTCAAACTTCAGTTCCACCAAAAATTAAAATTGAAAATTCACTGGACCTCAAATTGCTTATTTATATCGTGTGTCTGTCAGAACCGTCACTCCAGGCTTTATACTTTTTGCTCAGCCTTTTTGCTCCCAGTCCAGCTTTCTTCGATTGGAGACAGTCTCTCAGACTTTTCTGCCCTTGCTAACTTAGAACCAGGATCCTCAGCCTCCTGTATAGATAGGATTACATGCACAAATCACTGATGCCCAGATTGTTACTTATTTTTGTTGGTTTCCCAATCCCTTTGAAAAGCAAGGCCCTGTCTATTTTCCTCTAATCTTTGCCTTTCTCCCAGCCATTCTTAGAAGATAATATCACATAGTATGTGCTCAACATTTATGGAATTACTAAGATTATAAAAGCATGAACTGAAGGTTTATTAGAGAAATTAGAATTCAATCAACTACAAAAGATATTTGGAAAGAAAATGTAAGTATTGGGGATTGATATTCTGAACTGTTGTACTAGTAACTGAGGTAGAGATAAAGAGTGAAGGACATTTAAGACCACAGGAAAGATCCCGTTTGGGATATGCTGAATTTGGAATATTGTAAGCAAACCAGGTGAGACTCTTCAGTGCACAGTAGTAATAGAGTAGTCCAAAATTCAATGGAAAGGTCTTAATAGAACTGAGCTCAGAATAATAAAGAGGTATTCCTTCTCTTTATTTTCTTTTTTCTTCTCTTGCCCATTGTACAGTGGTAAAACACACATTAAGAAGTCTTACTTGTTAGCAGGACTTAAAATCAAGAAAAGAAATGCCTGATTCCACATGTGCCATAGTGACAAGCATCATGGAAATATGCCTAATGGGCTCAACTGTCTTATGCAGTTAATTTGCTTTTCATTCAATGAGTAATTTATTGTCACAGAAGATTGTGGCAATCACACAGTAATAGCATAATACAACAAGTTTCACCTATATTCTTTGCTTATTTTAGTAGTATATTGTTTTTAGAGCTAAATTTAAGAGACATAGTAGACAACAAAATGGAAAGTTGGTTCTCACTAGTAATCAAAGAAAAACAACCACAACTTCAAGAAAGCTGTCTGTTCAATTGCAGGAAATTTATTTAATGGTGTTTGTAGTGTAGTAAATGATCTCAGTGAATTGCTGGTGGAACTGTATTAGTTTATTTATTTAATTTATTCTTGTCATTCATGGGCTTGAACCCTGGTCCTGGACACTATCCCTCAGCTCTTCAGCCCAAGGCGAGCACTCTATCACTTGAGCCATAGTGCCACTTCTGGTTTTCTGATGGTTTATTGGAGATAAGAGTCTCTCAGACTTTCCTGCCCCAGCTGGCTTTGAACTGTGATTCTCAGATCTCAGCCTCCTGAGTAGCTAGGATTGCATGTATGAGCCACCGATGTCCAGCATCGTGACTCACTCCACAAATCCTAGTTACTCAGCAGCTGAGATCTGAGGATCATGGTTCAAAGTCAGTCCAGACAGGAAAGTCTGTGAGACTCTTATTGCCACTAAACTACCAACAAAGCCAGAAGTAGAGCTGGTGCTCAAAGTGGTAAAGGACTAGCCTTGAGCAAAAGAAGCTCAGGGCCAGTGCCCAGACCCTGAGTTCAAGCCCTAGGACCAGTATACACATACACGCATGTGCGCGCACGCGCACACACACACACACACACAAACAAGGAATGAGGTGGGGAGAATTCAGTCATAATTTAGAAAATTGAGGGGAGGGGTGGGTTGGCAAGTTGGAGAAAAATAAAACAACATTTCTGGAGCTAATCTGGCAATATAAACTACTAGCTGCTCCTAATGCTCCCATCCCTCAACCCAGCAATTGCACTTCCACAGACATACAGAGATACATGAGGTGTATAACGATCTGTGGCAAAGGATATACAATATACTTACCATAAATACCTCAACATTCAGTTTCTAGGAATAATATTGTTTAATATTGTAAGGCATACAAAAAAGTAAACTCTTCATGAAGCAATATTGCAATATCACACCATCAGCTGAAACAAGCAGGTGACAAAACTAGCTTTAAATTTATAAGTGAAAAAGTGTTCCTTTGTAGAAGGAATAAATACAGTAGTAGCTATGGTTATCCCTACCTGATGAATTAGGAAAATGCTTTTCTTTTTTGTGAACCTGTTACAAGTATATTTTACTTTGTAATTTTGAGAAGTTGTTTTGCACTAAAAATTATTTTAGCTAATAATTAATATGTATATTGCCCACCTTCTGTTTAATTTACAGCAAATTCTTCAGCATGTCTCCTGTTAAAGGAAGAAAATGACACCAAAATTACAGTATTGGACTGTGAGCATGTAATACCCAGAGCTCAGACTGTAACACAGTAATTACTTAGAAATGGATAGAACTTGATACCCAATCTCCTCCACTGACTACCAGCATTATCGGTCATTCAGCAGTCTCTGTAAAGCTGAACTACAGTGTAAATAATTTCTTAAACTGATATTATAACCTTAATTAATCATGCCCTTCCATTCACTTTCCCTGTATTATAAATGGCAATGGCAAGGGACTCTCCAGTTTAGAAATGGATTGTATTGTAACTGCATTTTCAAGGAACACATTCAATAAATGGCAATGATTAAACTACTGTGCTTTTTGAGTCTAAAAAAAACTGGAAATTCGTATAATGTTTCCAATAGGATAAAACAACTTTGAACTAGTAAGTAAGCATGAATAAAGCAATCGTTTTACTTGGACACAGCGCTTGAGGGAAGCAGTTGAGAGACCAAAGGAAGATGAGCCTTGTAACAACTCTAATGAGGAATTTTAAAGTGAACTAGCCCAGACCCAAAGGCTTGACATCTGCTAAAAACTCCTAACTCTGATCACCCCATCTACACATGCGAGCCCGCCAAACGTGACAGAAAGGGGGGGCCCTAAAGAAAAAAAAAAAGGAAAGAACAAACCTCCCAAATCCTCCCAGGATCTTCATGTTTACCTCAGCCAGCTGAGGCTGGTGGTCACTGCAACACACACACACAGACACACACACACACACACACACACACACACACACATGCACACACAGGATCATAAGCATGCCACAGGTGTACTGTAAGTGTGGCAAAGTGTACCTCAGTGTACCTGTTCAAAGGAGTAAAGAAGCCTCTTCTCCTTCTCCCTGTTAAATGTGCTGTTAGGCTGAGTGAGGCCACCCAGCTCTGAAGACTGTCTAGAGCACAGAAATGAATTACCTGTCATTCTGTTAATTCTGTGCCTGTGTCTTCATACTGGCAGTAAGGTAGGCCACAGAGCAAGAGCTTAGGAGAGGTGCTACAAGGTTGGTCTTTCTGTTTGACCTATCTCTGTTAACTCCTATTCTGGTCCTGGGAATTGAAGTGAGGGCCTCAAGCATGCTAGGTAAGCTCTTTACAACTTGAGCCATGCCTGCACCCCTTTTGTTTCTGCTTTAATTTTGAGATGGGGTCTCCCTATCTTTGTCCATACTGCCTCTTCTTCCTGAGCAGCTAGGACTATAGGCATGCACTACCATACCTGGCTTCTTATTTATTCTTATTAGTCAAAGTAAAAGCTACACTTTTGCATAAAAGGAAATAAAATTTCCTATAGTAGCTGGGAGAGAGAAGACAAGAAATGCGAATTTTCCTTCAGATGAATTAAATAATGTCTGGTAAAGGAAGAGGAAGAGGAGGAGGAATGGAATGAGGAGGAGGAGGAGGAGGAGGAGGAGGAGCAATGAGAGAGCAAAAAGGTGACCAGAGAACAAAGGTGGATGAGTGTGAGACAGAAAAAAGAAGAGGGCACTCAGTCTGGAGATTTATAATTCACATCAACAGCCATTTATTCGTTAAACACGTAGTGGCTGGTATATTGTTTAGCAGGAACTTGAAGGAATTCCTTTTATATGTGAACAA